GAAAGTAATAAATAAATATAAATAAATAAATATAGGCGAGGCACAGGCTATTCAATAATGTCAATAATGTTATTGATATTATTAAAGCATTAATAATATTGATGGTATTGGGGCCAGGGCCTCAGATACTTGCGGGCGGTTCCTTAATTGAACGCCTGGTGGAAGAGCTCCATTTTACAGGCCCTGCGGAACTGTAGAATGTCCCGCAGGGCCCTGATGTCTTCCGGGAGCTCATTCCACCAGTATGGAAAGAAGAAACAAACAAACAAAAATGTCCCTGCAGGTAGAAAGCTACAATGTCAGGGAGAAGGACTAACCCATCATGCTGGTTAGGTTTTTGAATGTGACCAAGTTACCTAGTGGAGGCTGGGAAATTGGATGTACAAACCAGGGGAAACATGGAATGGCATGGCAGACAAATTTATTAAGCTAAAAAGGTGGCAGGGGTGGGTAAGTGAACAAAAATCAAACCTACCTGCTGCTCCAGCTGAGCTGGCAGCATTGCAGAGAGAGAAATATTTGTTATGAAACAGACTGTTAAAGCAGAAGGCCTTGTCTTCCGCAGTGACCAGGCAGTTTCCTGGAGCCATGAAACAGGCCTGAAGCCTGGAGTGATTATCTCAGAGATGTCTGCAGTGTTAAGAAGCCATGTGAGGCCAACAGACAGACACAGGAATGGACTTTTATTACTAGGGTGGATACAGTGGTCTTTAGAACAAAGGAGCAAGGGGGTATTTTGTTTGTTTGCTCTGGCTTTCTCCGGTGTGGCCTTGCCCCTGGTGGTTTCTGTAATTTCAGCCTTCTGAGCCAGGCCAGACTGTGGAAATCAAATTACCACAGTCTCCACTCAAAATAATCTTCTCAAAAAGCACTAGAGGCTGCCGGGTTAGCAACAGCCTGAACGCTGTTCTTCCATTTTAACTAGGGGTGCCTAAATCCAACAAAGGCCACACCGTTCAAAAGCCGCCAGTATTTGTAATGACTAAGCCAGCCCTACGAATAGGGTTCAGCCTCTCTAGAGATATCAGAAAGCGTCGGTGTCACAGAGAATTTTGAATAAACACGACCTTAAAATCAGGGTTGTCAGGACTTGCCTCTTAGCAAATGAAAGCCTAGCGAGTACTAAAGGACAAAAGATAGCGGGGAAGAATACATGTAACATTATCGACACAGGACAGGATCTATTTGGATTTTCTCCAACGCTGGGATCATGGCTATTTATTTGTGTGGCCCCATCTGTGTCCTTGGAGCTTTAAAGTCAGGTCAACAAAAGTTAGGTCTCTGCCCCTGGAGTGTACTGTCTCCATTTCTAATAGAGGAGGGGTAAAAGTGGCAAGGGGTGACCACCAGCCCATGCAGCCATTTAGTTAGGCAATATGGTGTAGTGGTTAGTGTTTCCAACTAGGATCTGGGAGTCCCAGGTTTGAGTCCGCACTCTGCCATGGGAGTTTCCTGGATGATCTTGGGTGACTCTCTTAACCTAACCTACCCTCATAGGAGTTTTGTAAGAATAACATGGAGAAACAAACAATGTAAGCTGCTTTGGCTGAAAGGTGTGGTATAAATGGAAGGAAGGAAGGAAATTTAGTCGATTCATTTTATCACACACTCTCAGCCATGCTTGTCTCCTCAAGGAGGAGTATATTTTAAAAGCAAAATAAAACTATCAAAGACATATAGAAGTCCATAACCTATAAGACCCAAATAATAAATCAACAACACTGATTAATCAATAAAAAGAGTAAGCAGAATACTTAAGGCTTTTGAGGCACTAATAACACAAGCCTATGCAGAATTGTCCCAGTCTACGTCCCCTGAAATCAATGGGCTTATTACACTGGAACAGTTCTGCACAGGACGGCACTCCAAAACACTTTTGGAAAAACACCAGGTAACAAAAACAGATGGATGCAACTTAACAAACCTCACTTAACAAGATGGGGAGAGGTAGGCCTTGACCTGGCACGGAAAACTCAAGAGTCTTAGTGCCAGGAAACTGAGGGCATTCCACAGTCAAAGGCCCCATGATGGATAAGGCCCTGTCCCTCTTATTTCAAAAGGTGGAGGTACCCAAAGCAGTGCCTCCGGAGATGAACTCAGGTGGCAGGCAGAAGCTTACTTGGCTTTGTTTCACTTGTGGTTCAACAGACGCTCTGGCCTCAAACCCAGCTCCACCTGGGACAACTAGGGTTGCCAGGTCTGGGTTGGGAAATACCTGGAGACTTTGGGGGGTGGAGCCAGGAGAGGGCGGGGTTTTGGGAGGGGACGGGCCTCAGCAGGGTACAACGCCACAGAGTCCACCCTCCAAAGCAACTATTTTCTCCAGAGGAGCTGGTCTCTGTCAGCTGGAGATCAGTCATAAAAGCGGGAGATCTCCAGGCCCCACCTGGAGGCTGGCAGCCGTAGGGACAACCGCCTCAGTGACTGATAAAGGACTTCGTCTTCGTCACCACCACCCATTCACCACAGCGGTCACTGTTGCTGAAGAGTGATTGGGAGATCAAACAGAGGCCATCTTTACTAGGTAACGTTACCAACCTCCTGGTGGGACCTGGAGATATTCTGGAATTACAACAGATCTCTGGACTACAGAGATCAGATCCCCTGGCTGATTAGGCAGTTGGTTCCCTTCCTCAAATGCAATGATTTGTCAACAGTGATCCACGAAATGGTCACCTCAAGACTGGACTACTGTAACACTCTACATGGGGCTGCCCTTGTCTCAAATCCGGAAGCTGCAGCTAGTGCAGAGTGCTACAGCCAGGTTGTTGATGCACCTCCCTATGCGGGAGCACATCCAGCCTGCACTGAGGACACTGCACTGGCTGCCAATAGCATACCGGATTCGTTTCAAGGTGCTGGTTATCACCATTAAAACCCTATATGGTCAGGGTCCGACATACCTAAGGGACCGCCTTTCCCCACATGTTTCCCAGAGAGCACTGCATTCAGGAATGCAAAATCGGCTGGCCCTCCCAAGCCCTAAGGATGCCAGGCTGGCGATTGCCAGGGCCTTCTCGGGGGTGGCTCCATACTGGTGGAATGAGCTCCCAGAAGAGATTAGGGCCCTGTGGGACCTTTTACAGTTCCACAGGTCCTGCAAGATGGAGCTCTTCCACCAGGCCTTCAATTAAGGAGCAGCACTATACACCAAAGAGTATCCCTGTGCCCTGGCTTTACCATCCCTATTTCCAGCCTGTGCTTGGCTTACCACCTTAACCGCCGCATAATAGTTGGAGAACTGAATATACTGGAATATACGGTTCCCTAAGCCATTTGATAAATAATCTTGCTTTCACTTTTATTAACTTTGTGCCAATGTTTTATTAACATGTTCTAATGTTTTAGGAGGATTTTAAATCATTAATCTATATTTATGCTTATGATTATTTATGTAGTTCTATGTGAGCTGCCTCGAGTCCGCCTTGGCGGGGAGAGTGGGATATAAACCAAATAAATAAATAAATAAATAAAAATGGCTGCTTTGGAGGATTAACTCTGTGGCATTATACCCTGCTGAAGTCCCTCCCCTCCCCGGGCTCCACCTTCAAATCTCCAGGAATTGTCCAACACGCAGTTGGAAACCTTACCACAAAGTGAGTGAGTGAGGTAGATGTGTGTGTGAGGAGGTTGTAGAGCAGACTGGAATTCGCCACCCAAGTGCCCCTTTCAGGTAGAAATACAGGAATCAATGTGCTTTGTGTGTGCCGTGCTATGTCTAATCACAAAATCTTGTGAGGGGCCACAAAATATTATGAGGTTCCATAGCCAGCATCTTCCTATGATGGAAGCAGCTATTCTCAAATGGATGTTCCCTGTAGACAGAAAGGTGATGCCTCGGCTCTTCTTAAACATTTCCTACCCCAATGGAGGAAAGCCAGAAAAGGCTCTTTGCTTTGGGGGGAATAAGCAAGTGGGTGCCAGGAAACATGCTGGTGGGCACCACAGTGCCTATCGACACCACGCTGGGGTCCTCCCCTGCCCTAACACAATCCCTGTGCATCCTCCCTTTCTTCCTTGGGATGACATCACTGCCCACATATTGGCGGGGGGGGGGGGGGAGGGAAACAATGCATCCCACATGACAGCTTCATTTTTCAGAGCATATTTCAGTTCCCTTGCAGGACAGTTTAACCTTGATGAGAGTCCCAGTCCTTATAACAATGCTGTTCTGAGGAGCAGTTTAACAAAACCCCAGTGTTACGTCGTTTTGTTTAAAATAAAATAAAGAAGAGCTCACAAATGAAAATGCCACACGTCGGCATCTACGCCATCATCTCCCCCAAAGCTCTTTTTAAAGTCCCCACTGTGACCCACAGTTTTCCCTACTCCACCTATCTATCTGGAAGCTCAGCCATTTATTTTGTGTTATTGTTATTGCCCTACGGTATCAATCATGCGCCTGTAACTTCTCAATGTGCAAAGTGCGTCCTCATTCTTCTTTCATCTCTTCAGCCTCATGACAGTCCTGTTGGATAGGCTAGGCTAAGAAACAGTGATGCTCGAGGGCATCTGGCGCATTTCACAGTTCAGCTGGAACAGGGGCCTCTTCTCTCACATCTAAGCCCAGCACTCTGCTCACTAGCCTCACAGACACCCCTCATTGTCAGCCTGTTTAGAAAACGTCTGTGATTCTCTGGTGAGTTCATGTACCATCATGTGGGAATGCACTGAGATAAAGGGGGGGGGGACCTTTAACAAAAGCATGCAACTGTAAGGCACCAGGGGTCTCAAACCAGGGATTCTAGCAATGGGAACCATACTCCTTAGATCCAGAAGAGTTGTAATGTCAGAGAGCCATGCAGGATCTCCCACCATCTTTCTCTTCACTGCAAATCAGCTGTGTGGGGAGGGGAAGGAGTTTGTAAGATGCTCTGAGACTCCCTTGGGTAGTGAAGGGCAGGGTATAAATCCAATCTCTTCTTCTTCTTCTGCAGTGGCAGAGGAGATACTTAACTCCTCCTCCAATGCCACCTCTCCTATTCTAAATTGCCCATTTCTTCTGAAGTTTCAAATCACTCCCCCGGGGTAAAAATACAGCAGCTGTCTACTTCTCAAAGGCCCTGTTGCCATGGGAAGCCCCCCAAACAATTCTTCAGGTTTTGCAACACTGTCCTTTGCCTGCCAAACAGACTCCTGTGGCCATCCACTTCCCTACCCTTCTACCTGTTCTACCATCCCCAGTTCAACCTGGCTGCTTTGACCACAGAGACTCCTCTTCTGGTTTTGACACCTTGCCTTGTTGCACGGTTTGCAAACATCACCCCTATTCATCTCTGCCCTTTTCTGTCCACCACTATGGCCAAGCATGGTCTTGCAACAGAGAATCATACGGAGTAGGTTTCTAAGAGTTCCTTGCACACTGGACATTCCACCACACCCTACCCTTTTGAACATTTTAGAAATTACTATTATTGTTTAAAATTTTGTACCTCAGATGGAAAAGAAACAGAGAATATGGCAACATTGCTGGCAAGTCTACACATAAGCATTTAGAAAGCGTTCCAAATTCTAAAAAATATGTCCACATGCAATTGTCATCTATATGCCATACATGCAAATGTTGATAAGGCTGCAAGGTCCTCAGTCAACTGAATTATAAAAGGTAGGCATTCACCTGTCCAGTGCTGTAATGTAAGTCTTTTAGCAACCATAAGGGCACAGAGAGTCCGTTTTCATTGACCATCAGTTGGCCTCCAGGTGACAGGCAAATAGTTTAAGAGTACATAGGCATCCTCAAAGATCTTGAGTAATGATGACTTCCCCCCACAAAGACTGAATAATTGGACATGCCGAAAGCATGTGTTTAAGGCAACATAAGCATGAGATCCCCATGTCCTAGCACATACAGCTTCCGAACCTCTGCTAGGTTTCAAAGCGTTTTGCCCTGTGGCATGAGAAGTTGCTACTCAAGGCACTTTGGGCACATGAAACCTGCACGTTTGAATACTTGATCGGTCAGACCATGGTGCGCTACATTCAGAATAGAGCAAAGTACAGGTCTGAGAGGCACATGAATCATGCCTAATGTCCCAGGAGACAATGCAAGCCTTTATGGCAGAGCTTAACTGACCCTGCTGTGGCTGAAAAGCCAAACGCACAAGCAGGAGTCCCAATCAAGTTGCCTCGCAGGATCTTCTCACATAAGGTGATGGATATAAAATATAAACCAATCTTGACGACCCAGGTACTTCTCACAACATGTTCAATCTAACTGTGCGCATTTCATGCTGAAGACAAATATATTCTTTTTCAAGAGGTGTTTAAAGTCAGCACTCATCTCGCCTTGTTCCGCTGTGTTCTGAAATCTTCCCACGTGAGCAAGTAGGTGATTTTTAAACTAGATTCTGATATGTGAGAAGGTTTTCGAAGAACAAATTATACCATTAAGGACTACTTGGTATGCACTGCGGCCTCTGTGTTGAGGAAGGTGAAAACCCCCTCACCCAATGGGAACCAGGGGAAAGTGTGTTAAGTTTGGCTCTTGGTAAGGCATCACGTCTGTGGAATGACCTCTTTAATGGCCCTGAATTGATCTTAGTGTAATTAATTCAAACCTCGATCAAACTCCCTCTTAAGGGCAACCACAGACTTCTTTTTAAAAGAATGTCTTTCAGCACTGCGAATGAACAGGGGCTCCTCCTGTTTGCAGCTGTTTCCTTTTGAAACTGAAATCTCATACGTGGAAAAGGGGGCGCATTTAAAAAAAGAGAGAGAGAGAGAGATTTTAAGCTACATAGACCTGTCACCCAAACTGAATAGGTTGGAGGCTGACTCATCTGAACAATTCTCTTCTTCTTACATTTGATAGCGGAGGAGCAGGCAGCTGCCAGAAGGACCAGGTACAAAGCGTTTGTTCTCCGAACGCAGGGTACACGACGCGGATTTTAATCTCGCAAGGGAGGACGAGAAGCCTGCTGCCCCCAGAAAGAACTGTATCAATAAAGACAATCTTTGCCATTGGAGAGAAAAAACACAGATACCAGCCAGGGTCATGGCGCCTCCTTGGCAATGACTCCTGCCGCAGACAGTTCTGCCAGACACACACACACACAGATGGAGCCCTGAACCACTCATTAATCCACACCACCTCAATTGGCTGCCTGGCATCCTCTCGCCTGCCAGCCTGGATAGACGAGGTTTCCAGGAAAGAGTCATCAAGCCCCATGACTCAAATCAACTCCATTTGGAGCCCAGTCTCTCCCCCCCACCCCCAGATTCTCAAGAGGTACCACGGTCTTTGTGCGAAGCCTGTCTGTCTTTTCACAGCCCCAAGATGCACTCAGCCTGAAACGCCATGTCGGGCGGGCATTTAGAGACTGACACCAATAGAAGGTAGAAAGGTTTGGCACCGGGGAAATTCAAAGTCTGTGCCCGGTAACAAACATGCCAATTTCACACGTTTTATTTTGCCAGAGTTACTCTGTGTGCAAGATGCCAGATTCTTGTATCAGCAGGGAATCGTTTAACACTGTGAAAGAAGGTCTGCCTAAGTTTCTTAACCAGCCCAGTTCCTGTGCCTTTAGACAGCAGTCCGACAATCAGGTATTAACGAGGGGGACAATTTGTTTCAAGGCACGGGGACAGGAAGAGTTTTGCCTGCCTAATTCCTGCAAGTCAGGCCACGGGCACAGACCAGGGCCAGTAAAAGGGGTGACCATGCCGACGGGTGGCCCAGAGACAAGCAGAATACAGACAGCCCCAACTGGCGGCCGTGTCCTTCGCTTACCCGAATACGCTTTGCACGCCGCATGTCGTTTTCGGTAATGGTGCTCTGGGTAGGCGCCACCGTCGGTTCATGCGGCTGGAGCTGCAACGGATGGCTCTCGGGCTGGGGGTCCAATGTGGATGGAGTCTCCGGCGGGGCAGGCGTCTGTTCTGGTTGGTCTAGGCCGTTCAGAGGGGCTTGTCCAGCCTCCTCAAACTGCCCCTTGCTGGAGAAATGCAGCAAATCCTGAAATCCCAAGTCAGAGAGGCACAGGTTATCTTCCCCATTTACCATACTGCTACCACAGGTTGGCAAGTGAAGGCCGCGTTTCTAAGTGATTGTGCCGGTTATGTTGGCTTGAGAGCACGCATGCCACCCTTACCAGGAGAAGGGAGGAAGAGACTTTGCAAGACTGTCCTTCCTTGACCCACTGAGGTCCCGTCCTGCTCCTTGCACATTTGTGGTTCACACACAGCAAAGAAACAACACAGACATGACTTGCGAGCAAGCGCCCCGTGAGATGCTGGTTCTCAAGAAGACCCACTGGTGGGAGGAGACAGAAATCAGCTCTTCCTTAAAGCTGGTGCATAAACTAGAGGTCTTTAGAGGCAGGCAGCTAGATCAAAGGCAAGCTGCCAAGCACCATTTTCATCAGGAATGAGTTGGTAGGGCAGGGCAGGGGGATGAAGGCAACCCCCTACCTGTGGTCCATTTCCAGATGCTGCCAACAGTGCTCTGCGGGTTAGAAACAGCCACCTTTACCCTAAAAGGTCCATCAATTTATTTATTTTACTTCTATTATACACGGCCTTTCTCCTCAACAGGGACTTGAAGCAGCATATATCAAAACAGTTAACCCTCTCTTTTATCGTCGTAACAACCCTGTGAGGTAGATTAGGCAGACAGTGTGGTAGAGTGGAGATTCAAACCTGGGTCCGCCAGATCTTCGTCCAACTCTTTAACCACTAATACCATCACTCTTGCTCCCTCTCAAGGGGGTAAGGTGTAGGAAGTGTATGTTTACTCCTCCTTCTACCTTTGCCGTTAAAGTATACAATCCAGATACGGGCGACAAAGGGCAACAGCTCATGCAATTAAGTGTAAACTGTACACCCTCTCTCACTAATAACCAGCAGCAGAGTGTGTGAAAAGCTATTGATGTACACACGTCATCCTTGAAATACTGTTTGAAAGCACCACATGGGAAATACAGGAAGCTGCTGCAATATGCGGATGTAAGTATAACACTCAATCATGTTTGCTTTATCCTGCCAGATAACCTTAACGGCAGCCCTAAAATCATGAATGAGTACAAAATGCACAGGGTTATTCTGTGTTATTTCCTCTCTTGTGGGTGGGGGCTGTTGCTGGTAGCAGTCATGTGGACTGGGGGGGGTGGGGTGGGGGCTTGTGTTGGGCACATAAAAGAAGGCTGGCTCAGCTCTGGCTCAGTCAGATTTTGAAGCATCTCCAGTCTCAGACCTGGGAGGCTAGCTGAGAGATTGTGCAGCTTTTGCTTTGTGTAACAGAGGAGATTTGCTGAGCTTGTCTTTTTAGACACTGTCCTCCAGTGCTGGGCAACTTTTTTCAAGGCTCACTCAGGGGCCGCACAGTACAAGCACAACATGGCACATAAAAAGTCAGCTAAACTGGGAAATTATTGAGATGCGTGCTGCAAGCTGATGGAAGAAAGCTGTGGGGCACTTTTTTAAGGGAAAGCAAAACAAAACTGACACAGTGGTCTGGTTCACACATAATGACAAAAAAAAATGTATTACTACATTGACAAACCTGGGGAATTCTCAGACTGTTGCCCTCTACCCCTGCACACATGGCGTGATAAACTCTTTTTGCTTTCGCAGCAAGCCATAGTTCGTTGTTATGCCCAAACCACAAACTGAGGTTCCTGCAAAACTAATATTCCACTGTGGCTTGGAATTCTGATTTGGAGACAAGAGAACAAACCATAGCTTGTTGTTTGGATGCAATGACAAACTACAGTTTGCTGTGAAAACATAAATGTTTAACTACCAAGGGCCAGGGAGTGAATGGGGCATGAAGACCAAGGCTTGCTCATTAATGACAAAGTTTGTCATGGCATCTGAACGATGCCAGGAATTTCCAGACACTTGCTGCCTTCGAACACCTGCCGGGGCCAGAAGCTTGTCAGTTCTCATTCCCAGTACCTGGCTTTGTGTTAGAAAGTTAGTTCTGCATCAGCTTTCCATCGCCTGAGGGGGATGATGAGGGATGTAATGAGTCATCCTCAGGGGTCATTTCGTAGAAAAAGAGCTAGGGGAACTCATTAGCATAACTCATTAGCATATGCCACACCCCCTGACATCAGGGGCCCGGCGGTGGACCGGCAAGGCTAGCGGGAGTGCGAGGAAGCCCCGCCAAGGCCCTCCCTGGCCCCAGGCAGGCAGGGGTGGGGAGAGGTGGGGAGGAAGCAACTTACCCTCCCTCTTCTCCTGCCTCCTCCTGGCTGAATGAGGGCTGGAAGCAGGGCGGCAGGAAGCAGGGGGCGGGGCTTCATCATGTGCCCAGCTCCCCTGCACCTCACCCGAGGGAACTGCGTTCCCCCACGATCCCCCCCGAAATGACCTCTGGTCATCCTCCATTTTTAGAGAAAGATGAGGGATGTAATTCTTACAGACAGCTTCAAGAAGAGACTGGATAAACGTACGGAGCAGAGGTCCATCAGTGGCTATTAGCCACAAGGTACTGATGGAACACTATGTCTGGGGTAGTGATGTTCTGTATTCTTGGTGCTTGGGGGGCAACAGGGGGAGGGCTTCTGGAGTTCTTGCCTTGCTGATGACATCTGGGTTTTGGCCACTGTGTGACATACAGTGTTGGACTGGATGGGCCACTGGCCTGATCCAATGTGGCTTCTCTTACATTCTCTTGCATTCTTATGAAGTCATCCTCCATTTTCAGGAGATGATGACGGATGCAATTAGGGGAAGTCATCCTCCATTTTCAAAGGAAGCTACTCTGTTCTCCTTCAGCTGCTCCCACAAAGTATACCTGTGTCCCTTCTGCACATTTCCCCACGTTTTCACCAGTTACTTCCAAGCGCATGAATTTAGGAGGGCGACCCGGTCGCCTGCCTGGTCCAAACCGCCGCTTTCCTCGTCCACGACCTCTGCCTCGTGCTCTGGGGGAAAAAAATGTAAGAACGCTGGGTAAGACAAAAAGGATCTGTAATTCTCTCAATGTTTTCTCCTTTTTAAATTTTATTTTTACACAAAACATGCTTTCAGGAGGGGGGAAAAAGAGCTCTATTTGTCATGGCTTTGCCCAGACTTTTTTTAAAAAATAAAATTTATAAAGACATACTATCAGAGAAATGCAAATTATATATAATTTTCTCTCAGTCTTTTCAAACACTCAACCATTATAGAACATTTAGTGGCGGCCTAAGCTAAAAAAAAAAATCTGCAAACAGCTTGGCAGAAAAGGACTCCATCAGCAGCCAATGAAATCTACTTTTGTGGTAATATGGGAAGAGGCTGTATGAAGGGCGTGCCTAGTCCATCACTGGGTTTTCAGCAGTGACCAGACAAATGCCTGTATTATGCTCAAAAGCCGGGCCAGAAAGCATCTGCTCTGCTCTGTTGTTTGCCCTCAGCACCTGGTATTCAGAAATACACTCTGGAACACAGTTCTGGTTGCTGACATGGTGGTAAACATGTCAAGGCAGATGGCAGGGATGCCTGCCCCCTATCACAAACACGTACCACACTGCTCACCCGCCAGCCTGCCCAATCCCAGGTTGCTCCCTTGCCCTCTTATGAGGCAATAGGCTCCAAGACACCTCTCTTTTTGCCACCTCTTATTTGCCAGGATTGCTTGTCACTAGGTGATGGGCATCTGCCTCCGCCACACAGTTCCCTCAGTGCAGAAGGGAGCTGTAATGCACCAGCTTCTGCACCCCTCCTAGACCTCAAGCAAGAGGAAGGGGCCCAACAGGGGAGACACAGAGTCCCGGTGCCTTTATGTGCTAGCCACTGACCACCCAACACTGAAAGGCAGATCTAAGGCAGAAGTGCACAGCTGTCAAGCAAGACAAGCCTGAGGCACAAAGTACGTGTCTAGCCAACTACTGTGGCCAGCCAGTTGTTAGCCACTCCGTACTGCCAAAGAGAGAAACACACCAGACAGGAAGTTGGCTCTGAAGGCTTTTGGCTGCAACTGAGCCCCTGGAACTTCTAGAATACAGCAACGCTATCCCCTTTCCAAGGGGGGCACTGACGCAGTCCACTCGGTGATCATCGAAGGCAGCGTGCATTGCTGGAAAATTCAGCTTTTGCATATTACTAAATACCTGCTGAAGAAGTCCAGCTTTTCATCATGGGAGTTGAGGTGCTGCTGGAGCTGTTCGGAGCTCATGAACCGCCGATTGCACTCGTAGCACGGCCAGTTTTTCTCTTGCTCTCGGAGAACTGCATTTTCAAGTGAGACCAACCGATAACAGAACTTTTGACACCACCAGTTAAGCTTCCCACGTTACTGCCAAACACATTTCCCCCACGTATTTTCACTGTGTGGTGGAGATCGGGGTGATTAAGGAACATACTCTACAAATCTTTTGCTGACCAGCTTACATTTAGCACTTTGGTGACACAGGTCAGTTTCACAAGGGCAAAGATGACAAAATATTCTGAGAAAAAGGCACACAAATGTTGTAGACATGCTTTCTGAATCCTCCCCTTAACAAACCTGCTTGGAATATTGGCCTCTGGACAATGCTTTGCTAGTTAAGAACAGTGACTGTTCTAATTCAAATTCTGCACTTCTTTTGCATACACTCATTTAATGTGCATGCTTTCCTCTGAATCTGATATTCTGGTTTTTGTACAACACAGTATTTTTTGGCAAGGAGTAAATGAATGGATTGCTGAGCAGCAGAAGGACAATATGGACAGGGCAAAAGAAATGGAAGCTAAGAGAAGAATGCATGCAAGGTATTTATCCCTGATTACTACAGCTTGGTCAGACATGGGAAGCAGTCCTCCAAAGTCTCATTGAAATACTTGGGAACTGCATGGAAGATACATGCCAGAGAATGCATTCAGGGCAAGCACATTTTCAGACGTGACTAAGTCATGAGGATTGGATAGAGGACTAGACAAGCAAATCATTCAAATTCTGTGCCATAGTGAACCACAGAAGATAAATGAGCCAAGCTGGGTGAGTGTTCAGGGAAGGTTCCTTTTTTGAACCACAGTTCGGGATTCGTGAACCAGGCAAAGTCCGGGGCGGACTTTGGCTCGGGTTCAGGTCTGTGCCCATCCCTAGTTATGACCAGGTGCATCAAGAAAAGGCAACATGGGCTAACAGAAAGAGCTAAGTGTGCATACATGTTTTTAGTAATGAAGAGAGCATATGATAATGGAGCCCTAACACAGATAAAACCCCTATTTGAGTTCAGCTGGAACTAGGCATGCAAAACTGTATCTGCTTTTATGGGTTATAAGAAAAAAACCCACAAAATCTTTTAAAGATTCTTTGGAAAAATGAAAGGGAAATACCTTTCCTTTCCTCCTCAGTTATATCATGGATCTTCTGATTCACATACGCGGCGTATGAGGCGGCATACCACACCTGCAACGGATACACATAGAAGTAAAAAGGACATTTGTCAAAGGTTCCGAAAAGCGAACGAGGTGATCACTGACCAATCACATTTGTATCCTGCCTTTCCTCCAAGGAGCTCAGGGCAGTGAGCATGCAGATTACCCCATTTGATCCTCATAAGAAAACTGTGCAGTGGGTTAGGCTGAAAGAGAGGGGTTGGCTAAAGGTCACCCCGTGAGAGCACAGCAAAGATTCCAACCCAAGTCTCTCTGGTCCAAGACCAACATCTCGTCCCCACCCTACACTGCCCGCCCCAGAACCAGCAATTACTAGCATTTTATTGTATGTTTCATAGATGGCTGACACTGACATGAAAGGAAAGGAGATACATTTAAGAACAAGCCACAAGAGCAAATTGCTATATATGTGCCGGCAGGCCTTTCAAGAGCATCCTGCCAGGAATATCCTTAAGAGGCTGCTTCTAGGGGGGATTTCTTTCTCTAATTTCACTCACTGTATGGCAGATCCTCGGAGAGGAAGCGTGGACCAGCGGCTTGACTGGCATCTCAAATTCTCCATTCATTCATTGCGTCACCAAAGAAAGCAAGCAGTTTTTCAAAATGCCACGTGTGTTATTGCAAAGCAGAATGTGCCACTCCTCCCTTGGGTCTACGATTTTACATTTTCACAAAGCCTCAAAGAAAACAATTCAGAACAAACAAGAGGGGTGCCTGCGGGGGAAAGGAAATCCCATCCCTCCCCCTACCACTGGCTTCCACTTCTGCCTTGGCCCTGGCTCTGCATCCTCCCCTGCTACTTCTCTCTCTCTCTCTCTCTCTCTCTCTCTCTCTCTCTCTCTCTCTCTCTCTCTCTCTCTCA